GTATCAACCTCCCCAAAAGCCGATCAAGAAATGCGGAGAAGTTGCAGTTCGTATTGTCAATGATGTAAGGATCCCGTTCCTTCGTACCACGAGAGGATAAGACGTTAACCATATATCTGCAGCGTACTCACCAACCCGGTGTCAAGATTGACGACGAAGATGGCCACTATATTGTAGTACCTGATGCCGACCTCACATCGCAATGTCGGTCTATCCTGTCCCCTAATATCGGTTATATTTTTGTGCTCTAACAATTGTATAGATCAAATCAGAAAACTTCTCGGCCAGGGCACATTCGGCAAAGTAGTCGAGGCCCGAGACAGGAGGCGAAACAAACTTGTTGCTATCAAAATCATTCGAGCTATTCAGAAGTATCGAGATGCCTCTAGGATCGAGCTACGTGTTCTTCAGACTCTCAAAGCCAACGACCCGGAAAACCGAAATCGGTGTATCCATCTACGAGACTGCTTCGACTTTCGCGGACATATCTGTATTGTTATGGATTTACTGGGGTCGAGCGTTTTCGATTTCCTAAAAGGCAATAATTTTGTTCCTTTCCCAAACAGCCAGATACAGAGCTTTGCTCGCCAGTTACTCACGAGCGTCGCCTGTAAGTGGAATAGTATCAACCCAGATTTTTTTCTACGCTGACAACGCCGCATAGTTCTTCATGACTTAAATCTTATCCACACGGATCTCAAACCCGAGAATATTCTCCTTTGTGACAGCGCCTATCAAACCTTCACATATAACCGGCGAATACCATCGTCTACGAATGGAGCCAACCGGCAGGCTACACAGCGCAAGGTTCTCCTTGATACGGAGATTCGTCTCATAGACTTTGGATCCGCTACTTTCGACGACGAATATCATTCGTCGGTCGTCTCCACGCGGCACTATCGTGCACCTGAGATCATACTTGGCCTCGGCTGGTCCTTCCCATGCGATATCTGGAGTATCGGATGTATTCTGGTCGAGTTCTTCACTGGCGACGCCCTATTCCAGACCCACGATAACCTAGAGCACCTTGCTATGATGGAAAACGTCTGTGACTGCAGGATCGACACACATCTGGTACAGATGGTAAACAAATCGGCATCACGCAACAGCAGCAATTCTCCCGCCAAGTACGCCACAGCCCCTCCCCCCGCAAGAAAGTACCCTCTCCTAACATGCGAACCTAGATACTTCAAACGTCTGAAGTTAGACTACCCCACGGCCGAGACTACGAAGGCCTCGAGGCGATTTGTCAGGAACATGAAACGTCTAAGTGTAAGTCGGAATGTAGCGTGAGAAAACTCGATCTAATATCGTACTAGGATATCATCCCCGCAACAAGCCCATTCCTCAAACTCTTTTTGGATCTTTTGCAAAAGATCTTTGTCTATGATCCAGCAAAACGAATTACAGCTCGACAAGCTTTAGCACATCCATGGTTTCGGGAGGCTGCCATTCCCGATGACGGGACCGAAGCTCTCAAAATACGGCTAGAGCGTATGAGGGATAGCGATTATCATACATCTCGAGTCCCAGTCGCGGCATAAGGAATTCGATACTCTTCGCCAACCAGGTAGAACTCAGGATGGAAACATGTACATTTTACCAGGACCTAAGTGTTTATGATGCATATATTGCGGACGCGATGCTATAATTCCTACCAGCTTGTATGCTGGGTGATACCCGAACGGCGTTTTGGCCAGCATTAGGCGGTTATGATCCACAACGGTGTGGCCGGCTTACATAGAGAAATGTGCGAATGGACATTCGTGATGAAAGGCGAGTGATGTGTTCGTCTTCTCAATATATACTTTACATCAAAGTAGTATTGCCGTGCCGGGGCACATACATTCCGGCATATGATGATGGATAAATTGCCGTTTTTATTGCGTGACGATTGAAGCCTTGTACCGGCCCTAGCAACCATCTAGCCAGCTGGCTCACGGGAGCGGTGTTCATATTTATTCTAGTAAGTCCACGTTTCCATATATGGTCACTAACCGCGTTTATTTCCAGGTTCTCAGCAGCAGTCCCGACTCTTTTTTGCTCGAAAACTAACTTGAAATCTGTCTTGACGTCGACCCTCGAGACTGGCGTGCATGTTTCTAGCCTGGATCGAGTATATCATGTGCAGAGGGTGAAACAAGGGGGTTGATTGTTCAAACACCGAATAGAATGGCGAACAATAAATACAAAGACGCCCAATGCACTCGAGACAACGGTCATTGTCTTGCGATTCATGAGAAGTACTCCGAATATATAATACGAGCTTGTTCCATTTGTTACGAGCGTCCCGAGGCTGCTCTCATTATTTCGCCCATTTTGTTCACTCAATCCGCTCGCATACAGTCCAAAATTCACCATCGATTTTCCCGCCGCTTCCAAAGTCACCCGGCCCAGTCACATCATTATTGATAACACAACGCCGTCTTAGCCTATATTCCATGAGTATCGGAATTCGAGATCTGTCGGACGAGCTCATCGTCCGGCTGACGAACGTGCTTGCACGACGACCCGAATACGGCATATCAAGGCCCTCACGTCGTTGGCTTCAAAGACAGGAGGAGAAGATCAGAAACCTCCCCAAAGAACTGTTACGACCGTCGGGCTTTTTCCAGCGGCTAGCAATCAAGATTGCAGATCACTTTGACCCCGATATCGAGATCGTGGACCCGCGAGCGATACTTTGCGCCACACATGCTAAGCTTAACCCGTTCTTGATTAGGAGAATATTCATCGCCCTTGCGTATGAAGTCACTGTGTACGCGGACCCCTTACGTTCCTGGCAGGGCGTATCATCGAACTTCGAGCTTTCTGCGCTCGTCGGAAGACTAGACTCGATCACAGCACTCTGGACTGAGCCGGCCCTTTTTCATGAGATTTACGGGCTCACTCCTTTCGATAGCCACCACGTGTATGTCGATTCTGCTTGCGAAGCTTGCTGTCTTGCAGCGGTTGGTGCCAGCGGCCGGGCTCTCGCCGACCTTCGTGCCGCTCTCCTAGATCGTAAAGAGCGGCGTAGCGGGAATCATGCACAAAAGAAGCCACCGCGCTTGTTGCTTTTAGTAGAAGCCTGGATCAACCATCTTCGGAAAGAAGGCTCGCCGATAGATCGAGCGGAAGAATGCAGAGCTTGGAGTGAAGATTTATTAACAGATTTAAGGACGGTCAGGCCTCAGATTATAGCATGGCGAGCCGAGCAAAAGCGTCATCACGCCGCGTTACGAGCAGCTCGTCGCCCAGTATATTCCGAATTAAGGAGAACCAAAGCAGGTGCTGCTATTACCCCCCTCACTGGACACTCGCGGCGAACGAGAAATGGAATTCCGATCGCCCTTGCCGACGCTGGGGATCGCGAAGCTCAGAGAGCGGTGGCTTCGTCCCGCAACAGTGGCAGGAGTGTCTATCGCCCGGATAGCCTCGACGCATTTTCTGAAGTACATGATCGACAGCGAGCTGCCTATAACCTCCCAACCGGCAGAACCCCTCGCCCTGGTGCCCCTGAGCCGGCCCGAACAAGTGGGTTGAGTAATGAAGCACCGGGCCAATCTCTTATTGACCAGTTTGAGCAAGAGATACCCCTCGACGATCCCGACGAGGAACAAGAGTTCAATGAAGAGAGCTATATGGAAGCTACTCGGGCCAAAGTACAAGCATGGTATTCGAAGATGGATGGCTCACAATCGGTATTATCAATGGTTCACCCAGCCTTTCGCCCGAGTATTCCTGCATCGGCAGTTCCCGACTCACTTCATCCCAAGAAAGACGACAAATCACAGGATGGGCGCGACGACGCGGCGACTAATGCTGGTTGGACTGATATCACCGTTCACACGGCAGATCCAAGTTGCGTTGGGTCCAATACGAGGGATGCGCCGCGACCGCCGGTTCCAAGAATACCCTCGACTTATAAACCAAAGGAACCGTATGAACCTCTAAATTGGCCGGCACCTCCGCAGGGACGCCCGCCCGCGAATAATACTAGGCCATCTCTAGCTCGATCCGACAGCTCATTTATTTCGTCGCAGCGACATGAATTTCTCGTCGATCGCTTCAAGGCAAAAGACTCGCCTGCTCAGCTTAGGCCACAATCGCCACTTATACCCACAGCACCGTCGACCCGGACTTCTGTGTACGATAGAGGTAGTGTCACGACGGTGTCAAATGTAACTCGAGATACTTCGCACGCCCCCACGGTCGTAGCTGAGTCCCGGACCGGGAACAGCTCGACGCGGAGAGCGAAGTCAACGAGGAGTCGCTCCCACCGCCCTAGATCCGAGGCTCCGACGCGATTGAGCTCTTTTCAGGGAGAGATGTAGCGGAGTCTCTAGGTGAAGGAGTATCAGTAAGTACGCGAAGTACGCATTAACTAGATAGCTTCCCATAACCTGAGTACATAAGGTAGTGGTAGTAGGGATTAGGTGAGTCCACACCCTTCCAACCCCAACCAGCTGATCCTGCATGTTCATTTTTTTTCCCTTCTTTCCTTTGTCGATACTATATTAGATCTCTTTTGTTTACCTGCATAGGTCGGAGTTTAGATACCCATTGTTTTTTCTGTTTTTGGCGCATTGTTTGGAGTTCGGCATTTCAGAGGCGTTTAGTTGTCGTTAGCTGAGAATATATTATGTTTTGATCTTATTCACTCTTCTCTTGCGATATTTATCGACCGTGATGAAAATATCCCTGGTTTTGTAGACACCCATTGGGTACCGGTTGTGTGAATGTCCGTAGACAAGACCTCTCCTGTCACCGAAGATTTAGCGGCGCTGATCGGCTACGCATGGTATGATATGGCTCGCAGTCTCTTAATATGACGAAGCCAACGCGATTTCCGCGAATAAAGACATCCATTGTAAACGAGCATTGTTCTTCCTTGCCAACAACGCGTTCTATGTTCAAAGCCAGACAACAGACAAAGAAATCACGGTCAGCATCTGGTTAGTCCGATTGTGTGGCTTGGTTATGTTAGCTTTGGGCGGAAGAATTTGTCAATTATCACCGGGCGAATGGTCTAGAGGTATGATATTCGCTTTGCATTGTCCAGTGTGCTGTAAGAAAATTACGCCATGTAATATGTATGCGAAGGGTCCGGGGTTCAATTCCCCGTTCGTCCATTAATCTTTTGGTAAATTTTTAGTCTTAGTGGCAAAGAAATTTTATGGGTTTCCGGGTTTAGTGCTGATGCAAAGACTGACTGCTTGACTTCTTGTCTGTCATGTTTGCATTTTTTTCGTTTGGTGGGTTTCATCTTGGGGTTTTTTTAAGTTTTTATTGCCGCGGGATGGGTGCTAAAGTCGTGCCTGAGTTTATTCGAATCACTCGTAAGATACCGGACAACAGAGGTCTTTATGTCGCTATAATATTTCAGATTGACGACAATAATTATGTAGTGACTCGAACGAGGCTTTCCAACAATGACTGAATGTTATTGCGTAAGAAGGGATGTTCTGTACGTAAATAATGAAGTAATAGGGTGATGTTCTTACCTTCGCAACCAATGATATGGTATGTGTCCCTGTGCTCATGTGACTCTGGATGATAACTGGGCTGAAATAGACAGAGTTAAAGCACGGTAGCATAAAGTAGAGAGAGACAGCATTTTCAATTTCATTCAAGACAGCCCAGGTTGCGTAGGTCATGAGCATCGTAGTAGTGTTTTGAAGTCTACAAATAGGTAATAGCATTGCTTCAGGCGATGGTCATCGCTGTATGAATATCATGAAGATCTGCTTGTGCGGTCGAGGTGTGGCTATCTCACAGATTTTCTCTTACGGCTTAATGGACATTAAGATTTAGGGCTTTTAGTCAATACATCAAGAGTTACAAGTCACATCTCTCTGAGCTAGGATAGAGTTGCAATGAGTCTTTTATTAGGGGAATGATCTCTTCGAAGACGACAACCGCAAATTAATGAGAAGTCCTCCAGGTGTCAGATTCTATGATCTTTCAACCCCGCGATATTAAATCCCCATTCATTATCATCGAATTTTTTTCATCCTCCTTTTTCCATACCATCTACCAACTCTGAACCATTATCACTCCCTCTCACCCCATCATCCGAAGTGAAATTCAACTAGCCCAGCAGACCTAAGCCGCAACCGCGACCTCCGGCACGACCTCATGCATAACCAACCCACCGGACCAATCGTCCCCAAACGTCTCCTGGGCGATCTCCTCGAACGGCTTGGGGTCGGTGTGGTTGTAGTCGTTGTAGTCGCGGCGCACGCCGCCGTTTCCGGGGGGCATGCGCGGGTGCTTGACGAAGGGCTGGTCGATGAGCCAGTCGCGCAGGAAGTAGGTGATGACGCCGAGCCCGAACAGCGCGTTCACGCCCTGCCACGCGTGGTGGAAGGCGTTCTCGGTCGGGCCGGCCGTCGCGTCGTAGTTGACTACGGGGCACCAACTGTTGGGGGGGTTAGTGCGAGTTGAATGAATGAGGAGAAGGATGAAAGGTAGGGTTGGTTGGGTTGGGTAAGGTATGTGGGTGAGTAAGTTGTGCAAGTGAGTGGAAGGAGATGGACACTCGAAGGTGAGGGATGAGATGAACGGGATAGAGAAGGGAATGGGGGTTGAGATTGAGACTGGGACTCAAGAAAAGGCTATTTGAATGAAGGAATGAAAGAATAGAAGAACTTACTGCCAGTTGCTGCGTCCGGTGATCTGGTAACCTTCGCGGGTGATCAAGCCGATGTACTAGGGAGAAATAATAGTCAGTTCTCTGCACATGGCAAGTAGCGTGCGTTTTGCGGGATTTGGTGAGAAGTTTATCGTAAGGAGGATGCTTACCAGGGGTCGCTCCAAGGCAAGATCTGCACGACGGTAGCCGAAAACAAGCAAAGTGTTCTACAAATTCCCAATTAGCTCAGCTCACTCCACTCACCCAAAGCCACTTATTTCTCCCTCTCTCTCTTTTTTATTTTATTATCCTTTAGGAGAAGAGGGGGTTTCTTACCGAAGGGACGTTGCGGCGGGAGTGTTCCGGCCCGTTGACGTTGGTGAAGTCGCTGCCGAAGTAGGAGTTGCCCTCGCCGTAGGGGAACTCGAGGATCAGGTCCGTGTTCATGTTGAGCTCGCCGCCGTTGGCCTGGTTGTGGATGCGGCCGGCCTGGCGCAAGGGGCGGGGCCAGATCTCGCCGTTCTGCGCCAGCCCCGGGTGTTCGGGCCCGACGTTCTGCGGGTCGAGCATGATGCTCCGATACACCTCGTGCGCGTACTGGACTATTTTTTTTTCATGTGTGTTAATTGACGGGGTAATTTCGGGTAGAAATAACGAGGTATTAAATTAACAAAAATAGAGAAGAAAAAAAAAGGGGGGGAGGGGGTTGCATGGGTAGGTTAGCTATATAGATAGGCGAGCCGACTTACATTGCGCAAAGATGCTGTTGCCGTGGATCATAAGCTGGCGCACACCGGGTCCGTTGGCGAGGTTCTGGGCACGGGAAGACGGACCGGCCATGACTCGCTCGGGAATATTGTTAAATTGGGCATTCCTGCATTATCATTATATATCCGTCAGCACACATACAGACACGTCCGTGTCACAAATATCTAGCGAGTGAGAAGAGAGTAAGATTGACTTACCCTTCGTACTCCTGCCTCTGAGCTCTCAGGAGGGGAGTGATGGGCGGGGTGTCGAGGGCCGGGTTCATGGGAGGCGAGATCCAAGCCGGCGGGGTCGGGGTGGCAGGCGGGCGACCCTTGATCTCCTGGGTCACCGTCGGACTGCCGACGACGCCGTCAACAGTGGAGTTGCTGCCGACGATATTGGTCTCGGTCTCGACGGCCGCAGCAGAAGCGATGCTGACGGGCTCGTCAACGAGAGTCGAATTGCTGGTGGGTGTTGGGTCGGAGCTGACGACGACTGCTGGGAGAGCAGTGGCCAGTCCGCCCAGCAGGGCCACGGCCACGGTGGTGATCCGCACTGGAAGCATGATGAGTTAGGATGGATGTAATGAAGTGAGTTAAGATGCAGTGAATTGGGCTTTTGGGTATGGAAAGTGGGTAGGCTGTGATGAAGGATGTGTGAATGAGTGAAGGAGTTGAGATGCGTACTTGCTTTTTACTGTACGGGTGTGATTAGGAAGTTGTCAGAAGAGAATCTTGTGCGGCGGCGGGATCGATAATTTTTTTACGATCTTGTTGAGGGAAAGATTGGAAAAAGAGATATTTAAGATCTCAGACGGAAGTTGAGAGATATATAGGCCGAGTTTGTCTGGCAGATCCGTGGCTAATAAGAGGTTCAAGCCTCTAGAGGGCAGGGACTCGAGATGATAATGAGCAAGGCAGTGTTTGCTAGCAAAAACACCTTGGTCCTTGCAGGTGCGCCCTGACCCGTACCTTCCAGATCCAGAGATGGTGAATGCTTATTTGAGGAACGTAGAGATTCTATTGGTTCGAGGAGACTGCCCGAGCCAACAAATTGGTGAAAGATCCGTGACCCATTAGGGTGGTTGCCGGTTTGGATCGGGGCCGTTTCCATGTTTGTTTGAACAACATCTTCGTCAGGAAGGGGTCGAGCCGACCTGTTCCTACTTGCCAAACAACTCAAAGTGTACGTCGTGGACTAGGCTGTAAGGATTTTGTGTTAAATTAACACCTTCCATTAGGACAGCGCAAGTTGCTCAATCTCAGGGGAACCGGTCAATACCTCATCTATCCACAACGCCATCTGAGGTAGTACAAAGACTGTATATATAACAAATCACGATGTGATGACTTGGAAGGTAGTTATAAAGCAACGCAGCATATATTGCAGGAAGGAAGGACCGAGGTACAAACCCGGCTAACTAATTGATTGGTCTCAAAAGACCAATCACAATCCCGGGTTTCCTTTGCAAACCAACTAACCTACATAGTCATCTGCTAGCTAGCAAGGTTTGGAAGTCGCTCCTTCCCCCTTATATGCAGTGCCTCACATAGTGTGTAAAGCATCCGTACCGCTGTATCATTTATATCGAGTGTTCTTTGGTTGAGATGCGTGGTCTGTCATGAATCTATAATGTAGTTTGGTATCTCGTTGCCGTGTCCCAATCATTGACCCTCTCGCGCCGCACTTATGCACCTAACCTATACATAACGTCTCAAGTGTAGAAATATGAGAAATACAAACTCTGTAATTCGGATTTCGGGGTTGGATTGCATGGCATAATAGTACTGAAAGCACATCTTGAGTTGCTACGAGAATCCAGCCTACTGCTGTTCTTCCTCTAACAGCTTCTGAATGGCAGGCAGGAATGCCTGTGCTTTCCGGAAATCCCCGAGCTTGACCCGCATGTAGTCGAATGCGACCAAGACCACCTCATCTCGCGATTCCGAGTCGGAGGGGATGTGAAAGTCCTCTTCCATGTTGGGAATCCGCTGGTATCTCTGCGAGAAGTGGGTTAATAGGATCCTCCGGGCGCCCATTTGACGGCCCACGCTGATGGCTTCCGATGCCGTCGAGTGTTTCTTGGCGATGGCATCCCCCTTCAACTCATCATCGAAGGTGGCTTCATGTATGAGAAGGGTGGCCCCTCGGCCCATCTCCGCGAAGGTATCAGACGGACGGCAGTCGCCTGAGTAGGCGATCTTCAATCCCGAAGGAAAAGTAAAGACGGTTGCGAGGGCTCCCACGCAATGATTGACCCAGCATCCCTCGATCTTTGTCAAGCCGAAATGCGCCGTTTCCATGTCATTAAAGGTACGTGGGAGGCTGAAGAGGGGCGGCAAGTCATTTTTTCTGAAAAAGGGCGCAAGAACTAGACGCTCGAAGCCGTACTCTTCCACATCGGCATATTCTCGTAGCCACAGGGTGAGGTAGCTATGGGCGGCCACCATGAGCTTAGCGGACGGGTTGGATTCTTTGGTTGCGTCGTTCCAGGCTTTGATGACAGGAACAGTGCCCAGGATGTGATCGGCGTGAGAATGACTAAGCCAGATGACCTTGAGATCGCGGAGCACAGAGGGCAGCTCGGCGCCGAAGACGCGGCGTAGCTGTCCCAAGGTGTTCTCGCCCGCGTCGAAAAGATAATTCCCATAGCCGGGGACTCGGACTAAAGTAGCTGAGACATTACGGTACTTGGAAGGCAGCGCGGAGCCTGTGCCCAGAGAAATAACTTCAGCGTCTCTGTTGGGG